CAGGCGGGGGGGGGACAAGAAAACCCCCTCCAAAGCAGCCCAGCCCGCAGCAGGGAGCGCCCAGGGCAGAGGGAGCGGCAGCTCCACAGTGGACGGACAGGGAGGCAGTGGGAGGAGCTCATCCCAGCAGGAGAAGGACTCCCAGGTGGAATCTAGGGCTGGTTCAAAACAGAGCCAAGAGGGAGAGAGTGGAACCCCCGGCACGGAGGAGGACCCCGGCAGCACTCAGGTGAGAGGGCAGGAAGGTCCCCGTGCCGGCACTGACTCCGGGCTGCTCCCAGCCTGGGACAGGGGCTCCGTGTTCCCCTTCCCTTTCCAATAAATCCACACGAGCTGATGGCAGCCAGTTCCTTTTATCTGCAACACAAGGGTGGAACTGGTGGGAAAATCCTGCGGAGCTGCTCTGGAAGTGAGTCGTGGTCGTGTCCTAACTGTGTGTCCTCGGAGCAGTTCCGGATGGGAGCTGAGCCGTGTGTCCACCAGGGAGCTGGGATTTGCTGTGCCCAGTCCTGCCCAGGCTCTGGGCACCGGGAAGAGGCTCCTGAGGTGTCACCCGTGGTCAGTGGCTGGTCCCTGGAGCGGGAGCAGCCCTGGGGACATCCCAGAGCAGCTCCTCAGGGCCGGGAAGAGCCGTGTCTGGTGGTGGGTTTGGTCTCCTGGGAGCGGGGCAGGGGCTGACCCCGTTCCATGGGAATTCCACTCTCGTTTTGCAGGGTCCTGGTGGGGACAGGACCAGTGGTGCTGGCGGCAGTGGGAAGCAGAAGGAGGTAAGGATGGAACCATGGGGGGATTGAAGGTGCAGAGGGTGTTGGAAAAGTGGGGGTTTGATGTTCCAGGCCAGGCTGGACAGGGCTTGGAGCAACCTGAGCTGGGGGAAGGTTTCCCTACCCATGGACAGGGGGTGGCTCTGGGTGGGATTTCAGGTCTTTTCCAACCCAAACCATTCCCTGGTTCCTTGACCCCAGGCCTGGGTGCTGCTCTCAGGAATCCTTCCCCACCTCCCACGCAGTGGGATCACCAAGTCCCTGCCCTTCCTGCACCCAGCGTTGGTGCCGTGGGCTCTGGGATGCTGGAATTGCTTTGGGATCTTCCCACGTGCTGGGTTTCCCCCCAGATCTCTCGGTCACTGTTCCCAGGAGCCGGGACCGCCAGGAAGCCCCAGCTGGGATCAGATGCCATGAAATCCATGCCAGGGAACCATCTGGCCCTAAAGCACCACCCAAAGCTGCCCCAGACCTCTGTTCCCGTGGTGTCCAATCCCTTTGCCAAAGGCAGCCAACGCTGCCAGGCTGCTCTTCCCACCCCGGGCAGTGTGGGATGCTGTCAATTGATCCACTGGGATTTTGCAAAGTGCTTTGGTTTCCTGAATTAAATCCGAGTGAAATTAAATGGATTAGCACAAGACTCCTGCCCCGTGGGACTGAAGGCCTGGGCAGTTTTCCCTGCCCTCAAATGAAGTTGGTTTTTCCCCCTGCAGGCAGGCTGGGGGTGTTTCTCCCGAGGCTGTGGGTGGGGGTGAAGTCGAGTGTTATATTCCCACTTTGACACTTCCCAGGAGGAAGAGCTGTTCCCCTTCAACCTGGACGAGTTTGTCACCGTGGACGAGGTGGTGGAGGAAGTGGAGTCTCCGGTTGTGCCGCGGCGAAACCCCCCCAGGGGCAAGAGGAAAGAGGGAGCCAAGCCCGGCCCGTCGGAGCCCCCGTCCAAGAGGAGGAAAGGGAAGAGCTCCGGGGGGGCGGCCAAGGGGGAGCCCTCCTTTGTCACCCTGGACGAGATCGGGGAGGAGGAGGACGCCCCTGCCCCTCTGGGGGACCCCCAGGGGCTGCTGGTGGTGGACGAGGTGCTGGAGGAGGAGGAGCTGTCGGAGGCGGTGAAGGACCCGCAGGCCCTGCTCACCCTGGACGAGATCTCGGAGCAGGAGGAGCCGGGAGCCCACAGGGACCTGCCCCAGGCCGAGTTCAAGGAGCGGGACCTGAAGGCCGAGCCCCTGGTGACGGTGGATGAGATCGGGGAGGTGGAGGAGCTGCCCCTGAACGAGCCCACGGAGCTGGGTGGTGAGGAGGGCAAGGGCAGTGCCGGGGACTTTGCGGCCTCCTCGCAGGTGCCCGACGACCCCACGGCCCTGGTGACCGTGGATGAGATCCAGGAGGACAACGAGGACAACCCCCTGGTGACCCTGGACGAGGTGAACGAGGAGGAGGACGATTTCCTGGCGGATTTCAACCACCTCAAGGAGGAGCTGAACTTCGTCACGGTCGACGAAGTGGGGGACGAGGAGGAGGAGGAGGAAAACGCTTCCCCGGGGAAGAATCCACACAAGGATGAGGATGAGGAGGACATCGTTGCTGTGGCAGGACCAGAAGAAGAGGAAATCGCTGCCGGTGCAGGACCAGAGGAGGAGGACATTGTTGCTGTTGCAGGACCAGAAGAAATAGGAATTTTGGGGGATCCGAATCCAGAAGAGGAAATCTCTGGAATCTCCAAGCCAAAAGGTGAGGGACCTCAAGACCGGGTTGGACAGGGCTTGGAGCCCCCTGGGCTGGTGGGAGGTGTCCCTGCCCATGGCAGGGGTGGGATCGATGGGCTTTGGGTCCCTTCCAGCCCAAACCATTCCAGGATTCCCTCCCATTCCGACGTGCGTTTCTGTCTCCAGCAGCTCAGCTGGGATCAGGAGGGGCAGAACCAGAGTCCAGGCAGAAGAAAGCGACTGTTCTGAGTGTCCCCAAGGCACAGAGCACTCCCAAAGGTAAATCCAGAGGAACCACCCCAAACTCTCCAGGCTTTCCTGTCTGTTTAAAACTCCTTCCATGTCCTACAACCACACTGAACCTCAGAGTCAGGGCCCAGAATCCATGATTTTTTTTCTTTGCTCCTCCAAATCCATGTTTAACCAGTTGAAAGCTCAACATGGAAAGTACTTTTTTCCTAAGATTTACAAAGACAGGCAAATTTATTGATGGTCAGCACAGGGCAGTGGGATTCCCATCCTGGGACGAATTTTATTCCCAACTTTCCATGCCGAGGAAGGAGGGAACTGCTGACACAGCTTTGAAATGGGGGTGTAGAGATGTATTTCCTTTTTTTTTTTTTTATAAGATCCTCCTTTAAATTCCTTTTCCATAAAACTACTGAGAACACTGGAGCTGGAAAAGGAGTTGCTGGGAGGGAACATCTGGCTCCTGGTCTGATGGCTTGGGGGACATTCCCTGGAAGGATGGGGCTGGTGGGACACTGCAGAGCCACACCTGGCCCAGGAGTTGGAGATGAAACACTTCAAAGGCCAAAAGGAAGTTGCAGGGACCCTCAGATCCAAAAAATTCCCAGAAATTGCTGTGGTTATTTCCCATGGAAACGATGTGTGGATTGAAACAGGGACTGGCTCGAGTGAGAACCCGGGTTTTTTGAAGGCTGAAACCCTGTGATTTCCACCCAGGACCCCCAAACTGGCCGGGTTTGGGGAGGGAGTGTGGGGTTGGGGTGTCTCTGGAGCTGCGTGTGGTGACTGTCGTGTGCTGCTCCCTCAGCCCTGGACATCCTGGTGCCCAAGGCCGGGTTCTTCTGCCAGATCTGCTCCCTGTTCTACGCCGATGAACCCTCCATGATCCAGCACTGCCGGACCCCCCTGCACCGGCACAACATGGAGGTACCTGGGAACAGCCCCAAATCCCAGGCTCTGGGGGGCTCCGGGGAACAGGGAGCAGCCCCAAACCCGGGGCTCTGGGGGGCTCCTGGTCACCCCTCAGGGCTTTGGGAACAGGGAACAGCCTCAAATCTGGGGCTCTGGGGGGCTTCTGGTCACCCCTGGGGGCTTTGGGAATGCACAGCCCGTGGGAATGTGGGATGTTTTCTGTTCCATGCCCAGGTGTCATTGTGGGGAACCCTGATCCCTGAGCTTTGGCCACATTCCCCTCAGGAGCTTCCCGAGCTGTTGGCTTGGGAACCAGACTGGGGTGTTTTGGGGCAGATCCCCCCCAAGCAGAGGGAGGAGCCAGCTGAGCTGGAGCCCAGGTGTTCTGACACCTGCCCTGCCTTTGGAGCGTGATCCTGGGATATCCTGGGATATCCTGGGATGTCCCTGCAGCGCCTTCTCCCCTTGTTCCCACAGAAATTCATGGCCAAGCAGCAGGATAACGACGGGGAAGAGCCGAGCTCCAGGTGATGGAGGACAGAGGGACCCCCGGTGCCCGACGCTTCGGGGGCACCCAGTGCTGTGTGTTTGGGGTCCAGTTGTCGTTCGGGGTCGGGAAGGAGCGTCTGTGGTGTGGGAATGGGAGCTGGGAGGAGACCCCGGAGCTGCTGGGCTGGATTTGTGTCTCCAGTCACCCGGCGTGGGACAGACTGGTCCCAGTGCCCGCAGGAAATAAATGTTCTCACTGTATAGTTACCCCAGGGTTGTGTTTGGGGTCATTCCTCGGGGTTTGGTGACTCTGGGTCACGCTGGAGAATCCAGGGGATCGATGGAGCAACTCCAGTGGGGAGCTGGGGAAGGGGCTGGAGCAGCTGAGGGAGCTGGGGGGGCTCAACCTGGAGAAAAGGAGGCTCAGGGGGGACCTTCTGGCTCTGCAACCCCCTGACAGGAGGGGGGAGCCGGGAGGGGGGTCGGGCTCTGCTCCCAGGGAACAAGGGACAGGAGGAGAGGGAACAGGGAAAATTCCTCTTGGAAAGGGCTGTCCCCCAGGGCAGGAGGGAGTCCCCATTCCGGGGGGATTTAACAGCCCTGTGGATGTGGCACTTGGGGACATGGTCAGGGGTGGCCTTGGCAGTGCTGGGGGACAGTTGGATTCGATGGTCTCAGAGGGCTTTTCCAACCCAAACAATTCCATGATTTGCTGATTCCAGGAGTCCCTGCCCTGCTGCCCGGCCATGAGCCTCCCCCTGCCCCAGCCCCGTGTTCTGGGGTGACATTCCCAGCTCAGGGACCCCTCCGGAGCTCTCAGCCCCTCCCCTGGACTGTTAACAGCCAGTGGAGCAGCAGCAGGAATTCCTTGGATTCCTGTAATTTATTTCCTGGTGGCTGGGAGGGATCTTTGTGTGCACTGACCTCCCCCTGGCACCACTCCTGGGGTCTCTTGGCTTGTCCTTGGCACAGCTCTGGCTGTCTCTTGGTGTCTCTTGGCTCTCCCTTGGCACAGCTCTTGGTCAATGAAGTCTTCCATCTGGGACATCTCCTGGTTGATTAATTCTTCCCACTGGGACAGTTCTTTGTACCCACTGACCTGCCCTTGGCACAGCTCCTGGTGTCTCTTGGCTTTCCCTTGGCACAGCTGTTGGTCAATGTATTCTTCCATCTGGGACATCTCCTGGTTGATTAATTCTTCCCATTGGGACAAACTTCTGTACCCACTGACCCTCCCTTGGCACAGCTCTGGGTCTCTCTCAACTTCCTGTTGGCCCCACTTTTGGTGTGTCCTGGCTTTCCCTTGGCCCAGCCCTTGCTCCGTGTGCTCTTCCCAGTGGGACATCCCTTGGTTGATGAGAGATTCCCACTGGGGAAGATCTTTGTGTCCATTGACTTCCCTGTGGCACAGCCCTTGGGATCTGTTCACTTGCCCTTGGCACAACTCTTGGCCAGTGTAACCTTCCCACTGGGACAGTTCTTTGTGTCCATTGCCCTGCCCTTGGCACAGTTCCTGGTGTCTCCTGGCTTTCCTTGGGCAGGGCTGCTGCTCAATGAATTCTTCCATCTGGGACATCTCCCGGTCGATTAGTTCTGACCACTGGGACAGATCTTTGTATCCGTTGGCTTTCCCCTGGCACAGCCCTTGGGACAGCAGTGGGGCTCTGCCACGTTCCCCCTGGCACAGCTCCCGGGGGCTGCAGGCTCCCCACTCCTCCTCCTCCTCCTCCTCCACTGTCCCCCATCCCTCCTGGAACCAGGGGCTTGGCATTCCCTGGGCTGGATTGGAGTTGGGCTCTGCCTTCCCCGTGGGCATCTCCATCCTCCTGTGCCACAGAGGGGCCCTGGAGCTGCTGCCTCGGCAGGGAGGGGCTCTCCTGGGAGTGGCACCCGGGGCTCTGTGCCCTCGAACCCCCCAGAGTTACAGTGGCCCCCAAGTCACAAAGGGACATCCCGGCACCCCAACGGCCATGGAACCACCTGGAACCTTCTGGAACCAGCCTGGGGCACCCCTGGAGCTGCAGCCCCAGACCCCTGTGAGGGTTTGGCCCCTGCTCCAGGGGGTGCAGAGGGACTCATTCCCCACCTTTGCAGGGGGGTTTGTCCCCCACGTGTGCAGGTGACAGGGAGTGAGGGGGGCAGGTGACACCGCAGAAGGAGGGGGATACCCAGGGGGACCTGGGTACACTCACAAGTGGCACCACAAGCAGCTCCCGAGGTTTACCCGGTGCTGCAGCCGGGTGGGGCAATCCCAGGCAGAGCCCGGGCTGGCATTGGGAGCATCCCTGCGGGAAGGACCTGGGAGTTCTCATCCAGTGCCGCTGCCACGCCAGGGCCCGTCCCAGAGCACCAGCACGGGGGTGGGGGGTGGGTTTGGCCCCGCTGCCGCCCCCCCTCTGCCCGGGGGGTGCTGGGGGGGCCGGGGCAGCATCCAGCGGGATTCCTGCCAGGACACTCCGCGGCGCCTTTAAGGCATCTGGGCAGCGGGATCTGGCAGCGCTGGGGGCCGGGACGCAGCCGCCGACCCCCTGCCAACGGCACCAGGAAATTCCTGACAGCCCGGGAAGTGCTGAGCGGGCAGAATCGCAGCGCCGGGCTCTGTGCCTTGGCCCCCGGAGCCGGGAACGGGGCCAGGAGCGGGCGGAGAGGGGCCGGGACTGCTGCAAACCTCGAAAGCCCCATCACGTGGGGGCTGAGTCACGGCCGCCCCTCCTGGGCCCTTTCCAGAGCCCCGGCAGGATGCGGGAGATGCCTCGGGCCAGAAGAACAAAAGCCTTCCCAGCATCCAGCCCCGGGAGACAGGCAGGGAACGGCTCCGTCCTGTGTGCCGGGCGTGTCCCGGCCCCGCGCCAGCCCCGTCCCTGCTCCCGGCCCGGGCAAGGAACATCCCTGGGTCCGGGGGGGGACCCATCCCAGAGGAGCATCTCTGGGGGATGCAGATCCAAAGGACCCCATCCCGCAGGGGAACCACCGGGTGTTGTGGGACCGAAGGACCCGTCCCGTGGGATCACCCCCGGCTGACACAGGGCTGGAGGACCCCGGCCCGCCGCCCCCTCGGCCGAGCGGGGCTCCGGGACAGCCCCCGCGGATGCGGCAGAGGGAGCAGGGCCGGGGTGGGCGCGGGGCCAGCGCTGCCCCCCTGCCCTGCCCGGAGCTGCCCCGCTCCCTCCCCCCTCCGCGGCTCCACAAAATCCCCATAAAAGAAGGAAAAGTCAAGCCAGGAAAAAGTTTCTTCAGGACGGAAAATGAGCTCCTCTGAGCCCGGCGGCAGCTCGGGGGACCCCGCACAGGGTGGGGGGAGAGGCAGGACCCGGACCCCTTCCCCGGCAGCCCGGCCCGCGGCCCCCGCTCCCACCCGGGGCACTGCGGGGCTCC